TGGGATTGTTGCACGGGATTCCTCGACTTCATAGAGCTCTACCGTTGGCCCTTCGTCATCCTCCAAATCGGGCATCAACCTTTCTTCAAACTCCCGAACCGTCATCTCCTCAACGAACGGGTCCATCACATCGATAAAGGCGCACTCTTCCACAAAGTTCACCGAGGAGGAGGATATAGCTTCTCGAACTGAAATGGCAACGGACTCGCCCAAAACCGTCATGTTCAATGTCCCGTTCTTCACATCGATGAGGGTGTTGGTGGTGGCCATGAATGGTCTGCCCAGAAGGATTGTGTGATCCTTCCCATTCTCCTGTACGTCCCCCACATCTAGAACAACAAAGTCCACCGGGACGATAAGTTTCCCCACACGAACCAGGACATCCTCGACTACCCCTTTGGGGTATCTGATCGAACGGTCAGCCAGCTGGAGGCACATCCGAGTTGGTCTCAGGTCTCTTAAGCCGAGTCGCTGAAAGATAGAGTATGGCATGAGGTTTATCCCCGCTCCCAGGTCCAGCATCCCTGAAGCTTCCTTTCCGTTTCCAAGGGCTATTTGAATTACGAAGCCCCCGGGGTCTCGCTCTTTCTTCGGAAGTTCATGCTGCATGGCACTCGCAGCCTCGTAAACCACTACCTTCTCTCCGTCTCCAAATTTCCTCTTCTTCGTCACTAAGTCTTTGAAAAACTTCATGTACGAGGGCATAGTCTTGATCACGTCCAGGAGTGGCAGGTTGACGTTGACCTTTGAGAGCATGTTGTAGAGATCTCGGAATTGTTGCTCTTGCTTCTCGTCCCGGAGTCTACTCGGAAAAGGGATGCGTGGCTTGTAAGGATTTGGAGACTTGTGCAACAAAGGACTCTCTGTTGGTTTTCCCGAGTCGGTTTCCGTGCTCTTCGTACTCTCCTCGGTTTCTTCGGGCTGGTCGGTTGGTTTGGAGTCAACAGGCTCGGGCATTCTTACTTTGTTGTCCACTTCTTTTCCGCTCCTCAACACTGTTATAGCCTTTGCTTGCTCGGGCTGGCTCGGAAGTTTCCCTTTGTCTGACTCAGCCTCCATATTCCCGACTCTCGTGGCAAGCTGACCCACTTGCGTCTCGAGACGCTTAATAGATGAGTCCTGGTTTGTGATAAACTGAAGGATCTTATCCAGCTTGTCATCTTGATCTGACGAGCTTGAACCGGACCCTTGGACTTGCTGTTGTGGTTGCTGTTGTTGTTGGTAGCTCGGACGGGGAATGAAGTTGGGACGGTTTTGCTGTTGCATGAAATTTGGGCGGGGCTGCTGTTGGTTGAAGTTCGGACGAGACGGCTGGAGAGTATTGTTGTTGTTGGACCACGAGAGGTTTGGGTGATTTCTCCACCCAGGGTTGTATGTGTTGGAATAGGGGTCATTGGTTTGCCGGTTTTGATAACCTTGAAGGGCGTTGACGTCCGTATATTGTTCTCCTACCTCCTGGTCAAACGCCGATGGGCACACCTCGGACCTATGCCCCTGAACTCCACATGCTCCACATGTGTCTACTGCCATGGTATGCATGGACTGGCCTCCTCGTGCATTCATTAGCCGCATTTGCTCAGTGAGTTCGGCTATTTGCTGGGCCATCATATCTTGAGCAGAAGATACCTCGTTGACCACGACCCTCTTCCCTCGATTGCTCTTTTGAGACGAATTAGCACTCATCGTCTCAAAAATCTCATACATCTCTTCGGCTGTCTTCGCACCGATGTCTCCCCCTGCAGCGTTATCAACCATGTATTGCAAATTCTGGTTGAGGGAGTCGTAGAAGCAATTCATTAGTAGTCCCGGTGAAAGATTGTGGTGGGGACACTGTCGCTGGAGATCCTTGAATCGCTCCCAGGCCTCGTGAAGAGGCTCATTCGGTAGTTGGACAAACGAGACGATCTGTGACCGGAGCTCCTGAGTCTTCTGATGGGAGTAGTACCTCCCAATAAACTTCGTGTAAACCTCGGTCCAGGTGGTCAGAGATGCCGGTGCAAGTGTCATGAACCAGGCCTTGGCCCGGTCTTTCAATGTCTCGGGGAAGCACCTCATCTTCAACTGATCCTCATTCAGCCCGTTCAGTGGAAAGGTGTTGAGGACATTATAGAATTCCCGGATGAAGTTAAGCGGGTCTTCGCTTGGGAGCCCATGGAATGCCGGCAGTTGGTTATAGTGGATCATTTTGAGCTCATAATTTCGTGCGGGTTCTGGTAAACAGATACACGAAGTGACTGGCCCGATAACCGGCTGGGCCAAGGTTCGGAGGGTGTTTCGAGGCGGTTGTTGCTGTTGCTCATCCATGTTGACGTTACTGCCTTCTGACGATTTCGGGGAGTGCTCGTCTCTTTCGTTAGATTCGAGAGTAAGCTCTTCCAGCAGCTCCCTCAGGCTCTCGTTCACTGATTTGTTGATCGGAGATAGCAATTTGCATCCACTCCTGGTACGCATACACTAAGACCAACAAGGGTTACGAGCACCAATGATAAGAAAAGAAAATAAAAATAAACAAGAACTAACACCTAACAAATAAAAAGAAATCAAGAGAAACACGGAAACAAGAAAAATCACAAGAAATAAGAGAAATACTCAAAACAAAATGAATAGGCGCACAAAATAAGTCCTAAACCTTCCCCGGCAACGGCGCCATTTTGTTGTAGTTATTTTTACCGGAGTTAAATCAAAAGATTCGAACACCGGGTCGTGTCTCAAGGAAGGTTAGCCGGATTATCTTGTACGTATATCCAATCACAAAAAGAGAAATTAAATCCTAAACATCCTAATTCAATTGGTTGGTTTTAATTATCAACTACGAGATTAACAACTAATGACACTCAAACAAGAAATTCCAATTTAACACTCCGAAAACACAATTCAAAGAATGATAAGAAGGACTAGGGTGTCGGGGACAATCGTTTTCGGTTCTCAATACATTAAATGACAATCAATCGCTCGGCCAAAAGACACGAAAAACACACTCATACAGAGATTCATCCTCAATAACTCACATAACAAGAGAACAAATATAAATGAACAATTATCGAATCAATCAGCACATAGACAATACGTCTCCGAACAAGTCTATTCTAAACGAGCCTAGATCAATCGATCCCTCCCCTTTCGGTTCTAAAGATCGATTTAGTGGATTAAAAAGGTGATCAATCAATTCAACCCTAGATTTAGCACAACTTGAATAGATTGAGCAATCAACATTCATATAAACGAAATTGAACCGGAACAATTATCCCCTAGCCCTAGTTAACGAATTTAGCTACTCATCACAAGTCCAACATCAACATTCATATGAAACAAAGACATATTCCTCATCAATGAAATAAGAGAGAAACTTACGATTAATATGAATCCAATGTTGAAAAAAACAAGGAGCAATCCAAATTTCAGAGTTGAATCTTGGTGTTTTCACAATCCAATGTCAAATTCTATCAAAACTAAGAGAAAAACTGTTTTGGAGTGAATAAAAACGAGAGAGGGTCTAAACCTAGGTGAAAAGTGAATGAAAAACTGATCAAAAAAACGAAACTTAAAAATCTGCTGTCGCGACCTCCGCGGCCGCGACTTAGACCTCCGCGGCCGCGGCGAAGACCATCTCGCGGCCGCGACCCTGTCCGCGGCCGCGACCTCCCCGAGCCAGAAATTGGATTTTTCGTGCATCTCGCGGCCGCGACCTCCTCTTCTCCGCGGCCGCGGCGAAGAATTTCTGAACTTTGGTTTTCGGGTTCGTCTTCTCTCGTCCGGACTCGGAATTTGATCCCGTCTTCTCCAACACGACCCTAACTCATCCAACTAGACAGTAGACTTCGCGTAGTCATACACCGATCCACCAAACCTGCACATCACCACCGACAAGAAATACGGAAAAACGGGGAAAACGAACAAAAAGACCAAAAACGACTAAAACAAAGGATAAGTACGAGACGACTCGAAACGGACCAAAAACCAAAGAAAAATACCTAAGTAGGGGAAAAACAAGCATGAAATAAACAAAGAAAACATGACAAAAGTGGAACGAACAGACGACTCCAAGAAGCTCGACGGGTCAATCTCCATTTCACATGGTCTACAGAATGGATGCACTTCTGCCAGTCGAAGTTGGCTTGAACTCTCACAGGTCGACATTCTATGAAGAAAAGAAAAACGAGGAGATGATCAAGGAAGCCCTCGACCTGATTGAAGAGGGACGAGAAGCAGCTTGGGTACGATCCGTCAAGTACAAACAGAAGATGCGCGCAATATTCGATAAGAAGGTCTGAACCAAACATTTTCAAGTGGGGGATCTCGTCCTCAAACGATCAGAAGCTCTCAAACGGGGGATCTCGTCCGCAAAGGATCAGACGCTCTCAAACATGTCGGGAAGCTCAAAGCTAATTGGGAAGGACCCTACACCGTCACAAAAGTGCTCGAGAGAGGTGCATACGAACTCAAGGATGGAGAAGGTCGACAGCTGCCACGATCCTGGCACGTGATCCATCTCAAAAACTTTTACACTTAAGGCACGTTTCGTAATCCTTTTTGTACTGAGCAATGTTCAAGTCAAATTCAGTAATGAAATGAATTTCAAGTTTATGCTTCAATTATGTCCTTTACATTTACACGTCGGCCTTATTACGATTGCCTAAAAAATCGAATTTTTCTAAACGGCTATGTAGCCGACTAACTATAACAACTACGAAGTCGACTAGCACAACTACGAAGTTGTAACTTTCGAGTGGAATCTCGAATAAGCTACGAAGCTTGCGACTACGAAGTCGATTAGCATAACTATGAAGTTGTAACTTTCGAGTGGAATCTCGAATAAACTACGAAGCTTGAGACTACGAAGTCGATTAACACAACTACGAAGTTGTAACTTTTGAGTGGAATCTCAAATAAGTTATGAACAAGATAAGTTTTGAAACAATAAAAAAAACTCAAACATAAATATTAGAGCTTCGTATATAAACAATCAAACAAGCTCAAACGTGTTTTGGGGCTATATTTCCGTACAGTCTTACTCCGTTTGTCATTTACTTTGATTCCTTTAGCCATAAAAACAAGAAATAAAGGTTAGAAACCTTGGGTTTAGATCCACTTCAAAAGTATTACTTTTGTGATTCAGTTGGACAATAACAAAAACTTGAATCTGGTTGTCCTTTAATAAAATGGAATTGTATAAAACATGAAACCCTCTCATACATATTCAATAAAATCTAAACATGATGGTATAAATCCAAATCATAGTTCACTTGACACCATATTCTACATAATTTAATTCATGTTATTACAACCTTTGCAACATGCTTAAACAATCTTCTAAATTGCTCTAGTTGGCTTAAGCATCACCAGGGCTGTGGGGCTCATAAAACTTAGCTACTCAAATACGCTTTGGTGGAACATAAGGTACACGTTCTTCTTCGCACATATTCTGCAAAACAATAAAAACATACCAATTCAAATTAGAAACATGGATGAAAAACTAGTGCACAGAAAAAAGAATCCAATTATTTTGCCTTTCAGTTACTATGATCGAGATTTGAATTCTGTTGCTAATCTGGGAAAAACATATCCGAGAATAGAAACCACTGATAAGCATAAAAGAGAATTTACCTGCAAGTCTTGAGGGAGTGCTTCGGAGACCCCAAGAGTATAGCAACCAGGAACAAACTTTCCTAAAGGTTTCAAAAGAATCAGACACATCTTGAATCACAAAAAAAAAACCCAATCTTTCATGATAAGGAATGAAAAAATAGAAGTATTGATATCAAACTTGTTCTGCATCAAAACAATAAATGAGAGAATGTGACAGTGAATAAGTACGGGATGAGGCACTAAAATGTGAAGATCATAAATTTCTATTAAAATCATTCAAACACGCTCAGCATATTTTAAAAAACAAATAAATAATATAGGAGATACTGATAACATACTTGTTATGCATCAAAATAGTAAATGAGAAAATATAATACTGAATAGTATCTAAAGGGCACCAAAATGTAAAGTTCCATAACTTTCAGATCAAAATAGTTCAATTAGGTCCACATAACATAATTATCATACCTAAAGGTGTCTTACAGAGACCTAACTTCCAGATATTGTCCTGATGCCAACTAAATTTTGCTTGGCACCAAGCAGCTTATTTTATATACCCAAAACTCATAAGTGGCAATCCTAATAAGTCTAGGCCATGGCCATATCACAAACCTCTGTTTGTTCTTTTGTTCGTCTGGAGGTATATTGGAATCCACAACCAGAATTTGTTGAGTGATTTCAAAATTAAAACATATTCTCGCTAAGAAAATAGAACTATCAAAAGAAATACCCTTCCCCAAACATATCATAGTGCATAGAGCACAAATTCACATGATGGACAAAAACACACATTTTTCAAGTGTTCACAAATCAGGAGACCAGCTGTAGTAAACCTTATCATCAACTCAGAGATAAATGAGCAAAACATAAGTAAAGACAATGTTAAGAGTGGAAGAACAAGCAACTTACCAATACGGAGCCACCGGGCAGCCCAGCTTCTAGTTGGGTCCATGACCGAAATTAACCTATGAACAAAAATTACAACAGATTTCAGGAAAAGAAATTCCTTTTTCTTCACTGAATTGGGTCCCAAAGAAGTGGTCAATCAAGAATGAAAACAAACCCAGTAAAATTTGGAGTCGTGCAGTCCACGACTCTTTCGTGATCCTCTTCCATCTGAAAGAAAGGACAGTTCTCACAACCCGATTCCCTAAACTGCAATAATAAAGCATAAATTTTCAATATTTAGCAATAAATTGACATCACAACTTTTTAAGAAAATGTGTTTTGATATCGGATTAAAAAAGTAAACCTGGTCATAGGTCTTCACAAGACGGCATCGAAGGCAGGCTCTGAGCTCGTGTCCGAAGCTCGTCGGTATTTGTGCAACTGTTGCTCCTTGACTTGACATTGTTTTCACCGGCTTCCTTTACAAGTACAAAGAACAGATACTTATTAAATTATTATTCACAGGATTAAGATAATATTTTCCCAAGCAATTTTACTATAACTCAAAAGTATTTTGTACTAATTCTGTAATGCCCCACTTTTATTTGCCGAAAATCAGAATAAATTTTTCAAATTTATTTCAAAATACCTGAGGCGCTACTCATTTTCAAAACAAACTTCAATACTTATGCAACTTCTCAATACTAAATCGATTATCAATATCAATCATCAATCATCAATATTACTAACTCCCAACGGGTTTTCCAAAATTCATAAGTCACTCAAACCGGGTTTCAATAACATTCATAAATTCTAAGGAGCATCTCCTTAACATTATTCAAGTTATAAAATCTAAAATTCATAAATGCAATAATACTCTAAGTCCACAGTCATAAAATCCAGAATTCATAAATGCGGAAGCATAACTAATAATAAGACCGGTCTTAGAGACCGACCACCACTCGCTCTACTCCGCCATCGTGCCTGCCTCGCTTAACCTGAAACGTGAATTTCAGGTGGGGATGAACACAGTAGGAAAAGTAGTGCTCACCACTATGCAGTGAACATTACTCAAACAAATCAACAGTATGATCTCAACATGAATAAGAATCAATTTAATATCCCAATCTCCTGTCATCATAATATCGTCATAAAATCAAGACTCATGCGCACACCTACGCATAGACTACTGCTGACTATATATCGAATGCCCTCGGGTCCTACATCGAGTGCCAGCTAGTAGGAGTAATTCACTACTGCTGACTATATATCGAATGCCCTCCGGTTTTACATCGAGTGCCAGCCAGTAGGAGTAAACTCCTACTGGGGGGTAAAATACCGAATGCCCCTCGGGCTTCTATGGTGCCCAAGAGTAAATCCTCAAAGGAGATTGCCCAATAGGTACGTTCTATAGCTACGGGGATAACCGTTCGACGGCCGTTACAGCTCACATCGAAGGCTACATGGTTTACGTGCATACTTTGATCATACCATAATTAAAACAGTAATAACATTTAAGGCATAGCAATTTTCGAATTAAACCCACCTGGTTGCTGGAATGGAGAATCACACACAAAACAAGAAAATCGATCGAGGCTTCAGCTCACCGAACCTACATATATTAAAATTGTCCTATAAATAACTATTCCACACATTTATACACTCATATCAACTTAATTAGATTCAACTCATATAGTTCACATAAGCAAGCATTAAAAAGATAAGTTTGATTTCCGAAAACAACGCATACTTTCAAAACATAACCCGCGCAGCGATTTTGAAATTGGCACCAAATGCAGCACAAAATTCATATTGACACGAAATCAGTTGCATATGAATCCTAAGACATGCCTCTACAATTCTTATGAAGACATCAGAAGCAAATAATTGCATTTAGCAGGCATTAGAACATCAAACATATGAAACAGGGATGCTGTGAAAAATCTAGAAACATATAATGGACAGAACCTCAGTATATTCAATATAAATGGAGCTACGAACATGATATCAAGGAAATTCAAAAATATAAATGTAGCTAACTCAAATATAAACAACTTTGCTGAAGACCATATTGGCACATAAGGGCATTATCAACAGTTTTAAACACAAAACAGTTGGGTCATAAAATCTGTTAGAACTTGATTCAGTTTACAAACAGCACTTCGGTATTTATAGTCTAAATCATACTATAGACCTCCAATCGATCAGATTTTAAAACCAGTGGATAGACAAGAAGCATAGCAACAATTTTCATGAAGACCACTTTCACATTTGAGCACATTATGATACAGTAAACAGACATGACAATCAACACATACATGCTGCCGGGATTTGTTAAAAAAAGCATAGCAACAATTTTCATGAAGACCACTTTCACATTTGAGCACATTATGATACAGTAAACAGACATAACAATCAACACATACATGCTGCCGGGATTTGTTAAAAAAAGCATAGCAACAATTTTCATGAAGACCACTTTCACATTTGAGCACATTATGATACAATAAACAGACATAACAATCAACACACACATGCTGCCGGGATTTGTTAAAAAAAGCATAGCAACAATTTTCATGAAGACCACTTTCACATTTGAGCACATTATGATACAATAAACAGACATAACAGCCAACACACACATGCTGCCGGGATTTGTTAAAAACTGCTTGCGCGACAAATTTGTAAAAATCATAACTCTCTCATTGCAAGTCGAATTTTCAAAATTCCAAAGCTCACAGGACCACAACAGAATGAAGTTCAAATCATACGAAGAACTTATTTTCAAAATACGAGTTTTTCATGCCCTTTCAGAGGCTCCACAGAGGCTGTACAATTCACGAATACTATCACATGTAACATACCAACTTCATAATAACACTTAAGCATTTTAAACACCTATATTCTCATCAATATGCACATAAACGAGTGAGGACTCGACTTTTAGCATGATCTTGACAAGCATTTTACACAGCCACGTAAATTTCATATAACCAACTCAACATGTAATTTAACGTTACGAACTATGCATAACATACGATTTCAACCATCAAACGACAGAGGCCTAAAAAATTCAAACATATATTTTTAGGCCCTACGAAATTAAATCTCGAGCACATATCAATACATAAGAATATTTCATGAAATATGAAGGGTGTCGAGCCGTTGTGTACCGTTCTCACGTAAAGTACACGAAACAATCGAGAGGGAGTCAAAACGGGGCTCGACAAAGCACGCTGCTCGGTGGTCTCGTCTCGGCTCGCGGATGCTGTTCATGAGTCGTCGGCTGCCCGCTGTCGGATGACGGGCTGTTGCTACTCGATAAAGAATCCAACGGGGGTTGACGGGAGGAGAAAAGGCTTGAACGGGCTCGACGGGGTGCTGCTGCGAACGACGGCTGGTCACGGACCGTCGGTGGTCGAGTGAACGGAGTGCCCGACATGCGGGACGGTGCTGTGGGAAATAACGACCGAGGCGGCTGAGAGGAAAATTGGTGATGCCGGATGGACTCACGTAAAGGGAGATGGAATATTTGAGGAGTCCACAAATTTTGAAATTCCTTCCTCCTCAAGCTTTGGAAAACCGAGTGAAAATAGGAGAGGAAGGCTTTGATTGGTGTTGGATATTATTTGAGTTCCATTATTATAATGGGAACAACCCAATTTGGTTCTAAATTGCACGGTCACAAAACGTGGGATAAGGCAAATTAAGCTATCAAAATTTAATACAACCATTGATATTTAGAGCAAAAATGATTGAGGCAAATCAATGATTAAACCTTGCCATAATAAAAAGATTCCTACGCATAATTATGGGGACAAAATCGATTTATTTGTGCCCATTAAGGGTTAATTAAAATTGGACAACAATGAGTGATTAATAGTGCTCGAGGTTCGGGTCGGGCTCATGGGTTTGGGGCGGTTTCCATGAACTTGGGCCGGCTCTAGGGCCGGTTCACGCGAGGGCTCGAGAAAATGAATCGGCTCTCGGGCTCGATTTCTAAAAGCTTAACAACAAATTCGGTTCGGTCATACAAAAATAAAATAGCCGGAATAAAATTTACTACACACTATGTTATTTTAAGATAATAATAATAAAACTAAAAATATACATTCAAGCAATTAATCACAATTAGACAGATAAATAATTTTTAGGTATTTAGGCATTTAAACGCAAATTTGACAAATAAATCATATTAGACATTTAATAATTTATAGCATTCAATAAATAATAATAACAACAAATAAAGATAAATAATAATAGTAAATAATAATAAATAATTCCCAAATATTCAATAATTAAACGGGTTATAATCGGTTCACGCGATTAAAACGAAATCGCCGAACGACGAATGTTTTTCAATAAAACAAGCGAGTATTCCAACCTTTTATTTAAGTCGACATCGCGACCAATAAAATAAATATAACCGCATAAATAATATCGATAAATAGAATATTCCGAGGAATTCTATAAATCGGACGGGGCGTTACAAATTCTAACTTATGTTTTTTAGGAACAGATCGACAATCTATAAAACCACTCTCCTAGGCTTTCCATCAATCACGTAGGTGGAAAACCATTATGATAACTAATCCCCAAATGGTTTTTTTTTTCCTTTTTAATTCCAAAACACACTGAAACAGCTAACAAAATCCCACATCAAACAGTTAAAATATTCACATTCTTTTCATTTACACCACAACATTAGTTATACAATATGTACTACTTATCTACATGAAAGTTTTCTTAAGTCTCCAAGATCCCACTGAAATGTGAATGCGTGTCACTTGTGAGATTATAGTTGAACTTTCACCTATAGAGATTGGTAAATATAAGAAATGGAGCATGTGTTCAGATCTTAAAAACAGTGGCATACCACCAATTTGATTATCATTGAACGACCTCAAGAAATAGTTGGCCATAGCTCATTTAAACACTTTGTTCTAGATCTCCACTCTTTACAAAACTAACTAATCTGCCTTGGATCCTTGTTTCTGTTCAGATTCTTGAAATGGACACTTACAGGTATTATGGATACTCCAATTTGATCCAGAAAGCACATATTGCACATGTAGTGATGATAGCGGTATTAGACAGATGATATAGTGTAAACATTCTCTCAAGATTATGATAAGTAATTTAAATGATTGTATCATGCTTAATTCTCTTTTTCATCCGAAGCGTGATAGGAAGAATCAGAAAGCCGATATTGCATCATGATCCAGCTACTGGAAAAGAGCTAAAGGTAACATTCTAACATACTCTATTTTTACTTATGTTTCAGGAGGGTTAATTTTCCAGAAATCAAATAACTTCTAATATTTTCATGATATTTTATGGGATTTTGAATTCGTATATATTTTCTAGTATTGGAGGAATATTTTGATGCAATCTTTATTTTTATTTTTATCTCTATCTAAATTGATTGCTTAGCGGAAAAATAATATTTAGTAATGTACTTCTCAACTTCAGGATACTACAAAAGAAATAAGAAAGAGAGATGATGCTATATATTGCAAAAACGAAGGTAAGAACTATCACAGTTTCGTGTCTAGTTGAAATGGATCGACACAAACATGGATTTTAGTTATATTTGACTATAATTTACTTTGATTTGA